TGGGTATGCAAGTTCTAGCCTTTTCACAACCTTGTGAATATTTAGAATGTCAGTCTTTTTAATTTTTGCTATTCCAGTGTATGTGCTATTTCATTATAGTTTTAATTTACATTTCCCTAATGTGTTAAGTATCTTTTCACATACTAATTGGATATTTAGTATCTCCTGTTGTAAAGTACCTTTTCAACTAGTTTGCCTATTTTTTATGGAACACATTTCCTTAAAGCAAGCTATAGTGAGGGGGTTCCAACCAGCTAAGATGGGGAGGTATATTATTCTGTATCAGTCAGGTTTCTGTTAGAAAAACAGAACCTTTGTAAGTGACATGGAACCAGAATTTATTATAGGCATTAGTGAGAAGCTTGTGAAAGGCTGTTGAATCTGGGTCTGGCAGGTCTGGCATGTAGGGAGGAAAAGTAGCCATGAAGTGGAGGAGAACAAGGACAGATACATACAGAGGGACAACCTGGAGCCCATAAAGACAAACACACCATGTCTGTTTTTGTCCTGTCTACTTCAAAGATGATGGCAACAATACTAGCGCCTTTTGCCAATGGGCTGTACATGCCCCAAGCTGACCCAGGGCAAGGGAACAAGGAAGCAAGGGAAGAGGAGGTTAGGAACGTGTGCAGGCTTCACAGTGCCTGGAGTTCCATGGTCCCCTTAGAGGACCAGCCACTACTTGATTTCCTCCTTCCATATTGCACACAACTTTCTCTTATGGCATCCCTAACCTGGAAATCCACAAGAAAGGAATTCTGGGAAGCATGGATTCAGGTGGGTAAGTTGACACCAGAGAGCTTGTCCTCTCTGGTAAGAAAGAGAAATGAACCAAAGGAAGCTAATATTTATTGAGTATATTTTGGACCAGGTACTGTCTAAATACGTAACCTATTGACAATTTATACCCTAATAGGGAGCTGGCTGGACCATGTGTCAAAAGCAATGGAGTGGGGAGGGGTGAGTTTGGAGCAACCACTTTATGCTCAGCTGCTGGTCATTGTAGCAGAGAGAGAGAGAGCCCCAAAGTTCAGGGCAAAGCTCATTGAGCTCTGAGATGCTCTGCCAGGGTGTGGGTTAATTCGGGGTGGAGGTAGTACCAGGGAACCAGAAGAAGTGGAAGTTGTGAACTGCTGTGACCTTAACAGACTGTGGAGACTTTACTATACTTTAATATTTGTAAATGACTTGAAAATAATGTTATTGCTCTGAAATTGTTCCATCGTTGTTAACTGAAGTATAGACATCACACGTAAATTTGTCTGGGTGGATAATCTTTGAGGTAATCATTTACATTATTTCTTGCTGCATTTTTTTCTTCAATGAGAAAGCAGATACTGTGGGATTTGTTTTGTTTTGTCCAAGGAGAGTATTGTAGCAAGGCTGAAAGTAGAAATTATCTGATGAAAACATTTTTCTTTCTGTCTCTTGTGATTTTAAACCTAAATCCTTAGGAGGAGTAGGGTGATTTGTGGATCCAAGAGAAGGAATATGGGGACATGGCCAACCTCACAACAGATTCCATGATGTAGGAATTATCTCCAGTGTGCAAACTGAACACTGAGACAGTCTGATGGTGCAGAGTGACGCGATGAAACATGCCAATGACATTGTTAAGGCTTGTGGAATAGATTATTCTCTCCTGGAGCTGAGCTAATCCACAGATTCTGGTCCTCTGTATTTATCCACACTAAAGCTCTCACTTCCCCAGCAGAACCACTCAATGTGAGCTTCTCTTTCTCATTTCCTCCTCTCCAATTATTACTTAAATTAAAAGGTACAAAGGGTAGAAAGGATCATTTTGGATAGCTTAAATTTCATCTAAATGTTATGCCTGAGATCCAAATAACAGAATTATATTTTCTGACTCACATTCATCTGTGGTCAGTTGAGGCCTCAGGATTTTTTCCCCCCAACATTTGTTTATATATGCTCTTTTTGTCTCCTTAAATGATTTACCTTCCTCTATGAACTAAGTATGGTCAGGATATAATTGACACTAGGTAAACTGCTATGGATTCATACTGAGAAAGAATTTTTCTCATGTCCTACTCCTTGAAACCAATTTCGGTTGATTTCAACCCCATTTAATGATATTTTTTACTTGTATGTACCAATATAAGACTCCACTAATTCCCCAAATATTTCTTGAGTCCTTAGTTGGTGTCAGGCACAGTTCTATGTGCTGGGGATACACATTCTCTGCTGTTTTGAGCAAAACAAAGTTCCACTTATCTGGGCTTCATTCTGGGCCCTTAGAGTGAACGCAGTAGATTACTAATGATCAGGATAAAGCTGACATATAATGTGTTGAATTTACAGAGAGCAATTATGTAACTAAATCCTTCCAATTCTTCCATTACTATAAGGAGTGTGTGTGTGTGTGTGTGTGTGTGTGTGTTTGGAGGGGTGTGGGAAGCAACAGCTGAAATGGAAAGCAAATACAGGGAGAACAGAGTGGAAAACGCAGGAGAGATTCCTCCGATAGCTATATTCTAGAAATAGAAATAGAGATGTGCAGTTTCTAGTTATAAATTAGGGAAGGTAACAAGGAAATACAAGGTTAAGATTCATCATAAATGGTAAAATGGAGGTTAAAATTTTAATATTCAACTTTCAATTTAAAGAGTTAAATTACACACAAGGAAATCATGCATAAGTGAAATACAGGAGCAAATTGTTTTGTGATTTTGGAAAAAAATTTTTATTCTTCACCGTTCCTGGGCAGTTTCTGGTTAAGAACAGAAAAGCCATTTCTCTTTTGACCTCAAGAGGGCAAGAACAGTTTCTCCAAACCCATAGCTCTGTGAGCTGCTATTAGTGTGGCATGCATCCCTGTACTTTAAACATAAACTAAGTATATGCTTGTCAGATCCAGATAACCTGTAGTAAGCACTTATCAACTCACTGGCCATTTAAAAAATTTTACCTAGTAGTCAGATTCAAAGTTGTCCCATTAGTCTAAATGCTCCTCTATTAGCCTAGGACATGGGCCTTCTCCACTGTGCTGGCAGAGTGTCTGGCATAGAAGAGATGCTGTAAATTGTTGGGCTGAGCTAAATTGAACTGGATGTCAAAGCTGTAGGTAGGTGGCAGTGTGGTTCAACTCCCTGCTTTATATGCAGCCAGTTAAGAATTTTACACCCATCTCTCTCTGGTCTGGGGACAAATTTCTTAATGTTTCATCACCTCAACTTTTTTATCTGTAAAATGGGAAACTTATAGCTGCTGCAGTTACTGTGAGCATTAAATAAAGCAATCTGTATACTTAACACAGGGTTTGGCTCATTGCTCTCAATAAGTGATAGTTATATTGCATTGTATATGAGCACTGACCAGAGTTGAGAAGAGCTAAGGGCTCTTTAATGAAAGCTGAATTAAGCCCACATCTCACCAACTAAAAAGTTACTTACAAATCAATTATATATGTTTAAAGACTTTTTGCTGATATTATGGTAGCATGAGCTGGTCAACTTTTGGGGGGCACAGGTTGAAAATTGTTAAATCTTTTATTTTCACTTGAGGACATTTTTCCATTTTTTGTTCAGATAGAGTGGGATGGAGAGAGAGAGAGAGAGAGAGAGAGAGAGAGAGAGAGACATCGAAGTGAAAGGGACACATCAAGTGGCTGCCACCCCAACGACCCAACCAGGGCCAGGGAAAAACTGCAACCGAGGTACAATGCCCTTAGTGAGAACCAAACCCAGTTCTCTACAGACCGCAGGCCAACGCTCTAACCCTGAACCAAAGCGGCCAGGGCGAAAATTGTTACTTCTTTGATTAGCCACACCTCTGCTGGACCCTGCTGGAAACCCCTACTTAGTATATTTTGGCAGACCCCACCAAAATTGTCTAAATTTGGTGACTAATACAATTGGGTTAAAATGCCCACATGCTATGGCAGTAACCAAACCCCTATAAAACATTGTTAGGTCGGCCAATGTCAATGCTAGTACTTCTGGAGGACAAAAATGCACGCTGCCTGCACTCAAGTAGAGTTCAAGTCCTAAATGGTCTTCAGAGGAGGAGAGATGTAGGTACTTTACTTAGGAAGAATCCTAGTGGGAAGAATCCAATTGAACTTCCAGCCGGGAGCCATTTCCTTTATAAAGGAAGGGGATCCTAAAAGGGTAACAACGTGGGGCCAGGAGAAGTCCCGCCCTGGCTGGCTAAGCGAGGATTCACCCAGCTCCGCTCTGTGTCCAGCAGCCCTAGTGTGCATCTTGGAACTAGTACCTGAAGGCATGCTGCTCTGGGCGCACACAGCCCACCAGGTAACTGGTGCATTGAACACCCAGGCCCGCCCTCTGGAGACAGTCTATAGCCCGTTTCCCAGAGCTGGCTTCTCCTGGTGTCACAGCCGGCAATCTCTCAGCACTTGGAGTTCTCAGTCCGGCCGGCGGTGGGCGCGCGCCCCGCGAGGCCCAAGCCCGCCGCCGCGTGCGCAGCCTGTCGGCCCCGCGGAGCCCTGGGGTCCCGCGGCCTTCGCGTCCCCACACTCCCAGCTCCGTGCCCGCAGCCTGCAGAGGTCGGTGCGGCCTGTGCGCGCAGGGTCGAAGTCGGCCCCCACCTGCCAGTACGGCGGCACACGGCGGCCTGGCCGCTGGCCGGGTCCCCACCGCGGAGGGGGATGGGGAGGGAGGAAAGAGGAGGAATTGGAGACAGACACTGCCTCGGCGAGCACAGTTACGGCAGGAGACAGACGACGGCGGCGGCGGCTGCGGGAGGCGGGAGACTCCCCCCTCTGGCGACGGGAGGCGGGACACCTCCCTTGGCGGCCGTAGTAGTACTGTCTCCCTTCTACCGCCTGCCCGGAGGCTGCGGGCAGGGTCCGGCAGGACTGGCAGGCGAGTGTGGCTGGCCCTGCCCGTTCCGTGCGCCACCGCGGCCGGGGATCCCCTGCGAGCCGGGGAGGAGCCGCTGCAGCCGCCGCCACTAGACAGACTGCGAGTCCCTAGGAAAGTGAAAGGGGGGCGGGGAGCGCGGGGGAGGCCCACGTGTAAGGTCCCCAGCTCTTAGAAAGACCCAGCGCGCTGTGTCCTTGCCGTGGCCACCAGGGCCCGGTGGCCAGGCGAGCCGCACTGCGGGCGTCCCCAGCCTCCGCTCTAGAGGAGCGGCCGCAGGTGAGTGCAGACTTGAGGTGGCTGCTGTGGTCGTGGTGTCTGGCCCAAGTTCAGTGCTGCGCTGGGGACCCGGGCAGTGCGTGTGTGTGTGTGTGTGTGTGTGTGTGTGTGTGTGTGAGTCACAGTGCGGTGTGGGGTTTGGGGACTGGACGCTCCAGAAAGGGATATCAGCGAGCCTGTGACGTCGGTGGGGGCCCAGAGAGCGGCCCAGCTCTGGGCACCCTCCTCATCCTGGCGAGTGCCTAGGAGACTACGCCAGGGCTGTGAGGCAGTGTCTTAGGTGGGCACCGTGGGCATCCGGGGCGCTCGTCCGAGGTGGTTGGGGGAGGGCAGTCCCACCTCCTTTGCTGGTGCGCTTTGCTAAAGGTACACTGCCGACCCCCACACTGTTTACCATATTCTGGTGCCTCCGTGCAGGTTGTCCTGCGGTTTCAGGACTTTAATTCTGCACTACGAGGAGGCCAGGGTGAGCGTGGGGGCCACTGAAACTGAGATCTTAGCTCCCTTGGGCCTCTCGGTCGGGGGACTGGAGGTCATAGGGAAGCTGGAAGATTGTGTGCAGGACCTTGCAGGGGAGTTTGCAGAAAGGAAAGGGGACGGGAGCGGGCAGTACTCTGGACCCTATGTCTTGCTGCCTGGCTTCAGGCATCCGGCGCCCGGCGCCCTGCGCCAGGCAAACCGTAAGACATGCCTCACCCGGCGTCTGTCCGCGTCTGCCCGCGTTCTCCCGGGCGCGCATAGACGTCGGTCCCGGGACCGCCCGGAGCTCCCGGCATTGGCTGGGAAGTCGATTGTCTGGGTGGCTGCTGTTACACTTAGGTTGGGTCTGGGAGCTCTGGAGTAAGCAGGCGTGTGTTGAATTTCTCTTTGACCCTCACGGTGGAATAAACAGGAAGCAACGAGCACCCAGCCCTGCCCCGGCACTTGCCTTTGTTGTGGAGTTTGGCTGCACAGCGGTGAGAAGGCTTTCTGGGACCCCTGCCGGGTGAGCCGCCCAGGGTGGGGTTGGGTGTGCGCCCTGTAAGTATGCTGATGGAAGACAGTGGGCTCTATTCAAGTTAATTCGCTATGGTGGCGGAGGGCATTTGCTTGTCTTTAAACTTTTTTTTTTTTTTTTTTAATTGGAAAAGGAGGAGGCATCCCAATAAGGCAGAGATTTTCTGGAGTACGACTTGGGCGTGTTGTGGGTGGGTGGCACCTGGAGAAAGCGCATGGGTCAGTGCCCTGTTTCCTGGGTTTGCTGGCAGGGCACCGCGTTGCTTGTCAGGACTGCAAGAAACTCTTTATAACAAGTAGGGCTTCTTCGCTCCTCCTACCCAGGCATAGGAATGATTGCTGAGTGGCAATGGCCACATAAACTAGCTTAATTTTTATTTTCCTCAGTCTTTTAATTAGCTAGAATTAAATAATTTTGACTTGCTTCTTTCTCTTCCTCTGTGTCCCATCGATTTCCTTCTCTCTCTCTCTCATTATTTTTGGTAACTTCTAGTCCCTGGACCCCTTCACTTATAGTTCAGTGCTGCTTTCCAAATGTTAATTACAATTGTAATTTTATTTAAGACCTACTATGTGCTGGGCATTGTGGGATGTGAGGTGAGACAAGCTGTACAGAGTATTGATTCAGAGAGCTACTGTTAATACGTTTCTTGCTGTGAAGCTGGGTAGAGATGGTGAACAGTTTTGGCTCTCAAAAATATATGGGTACTGTGGCTGGCATGCAGGTTGGTGCTTTCTCTCAGGAAGGTCTGGGAAACTTCCCTGTTTTCCTCTTGTTTGGCTAGCCAAGGAAGGTATTCTCCCATTTGTATCTCTCCTGGAGCTTTAGGACTGAGTATTGAATTACCAGAAAGATTCTGTAGAGTCTGCATTGAGAAGTTGTCATTGCACAAGTTATGGTTTGCATTTTGTATATGAGTATTTAGTCTTTTCTGCTGTTTATGTTTTCACTGTCATCAGTACATCTGCCTTTATACTCTGCAAAATTCTCTTGGAACACATTCTTTATGTTTATTTAGTAAAGGATCATAATACAAATTTGAGTCATTACATAGACAAATGAGCAGAGCAGAATATTACCCATGTACATTTATTGAATTATAATATTTGGTTTCCTATCAACCCTTGAATGCCTTTTGATGGTCCTTGCAAAGGAGTGCTTTTTACTTTTATTTTATTTTTTTAATCCTCACCTGATGATATATATATATATATATATATATATATATTTTTTTTTTTTTTTCTTCTATTTATCTTCAGATAGAGTGGGAGGGAAGGAGAGAGAGGGAGAGAGAAACATCGACGTGAGAGGGACACATTGACTGGTTGCCTTCCTCATGACCCTGACCAAGGCCAGGGACAAACTGCAACTGAGGTATGTGCCCTTGACTGGGACTGAACCCGTGACTCTTTGGTCCAAGGGCTGAAGCTCTAACAGCTGAGCTAAACTGGCCAGAAAGCAGTGCTTTTCAAAATATGGGAGGAATTCTTCCTGATCTTTGAAAGCTTAATTCTTTTGAGAGCTTCCCGTTACTATTGACATTTGAACACACTGTTAGGAATTAGGTGCCAATCTGTACATGCTAGTAAGGGATTATTTGTTGTAATGGAGTTGTAGTTATATCCCTCCTTTATTTTAAAATACTCCTCTAATTTTCTAACATTCTGCTGTTGTCCTTGGAAGAACTTGTCCTCATTGGCCATCGTTCTGTTTGTTTAGGTTTGTATTTATGATGGAGAAAACTATTCCCAGTAGGATTTTGGGGCTGTCTCTTGAATCCTCTTAGGGACTTGGTTTGCATGACCACAGTCCTGCAGAGGATCCCAACTAGAGCCAGCTGCTTACTAAGGGATTTTGTGCCAATTTGTTGGATTCAAAGTCTGTCCACCCTCCCACTCCCATATACATACATAGACAAATATTTATTTTCCCCTAATGGCTGACAGTGTCCTAAGAATAATTTTCTTGCCTGCTGCACTGAGAGCAAGGACCCATCTGCAGAGGTGTTTATAGTTTGGAACTGTGCGGTGGTCTTGGTTGATTTAGCAGCCTGGCATAGCAGTCTTGCAGCTCATGGATGCAGTCTGTTTTTTATCTGGGCCTCTGGAGGGTCAATTCCCAGCTGGAGAGGGGAATATAGAGAAGTGAGAGTTACTTTTGCTCTCTGAAGGTAGTTTCTGGCTCTGTCTGGATCCCCTTCGCACTCACCCAGCATGCTGTCAGCTCAGCATTTAGTCACCCTGTGGTCTGGGCAGGGGGCGGTTGCTCTGTGTCACCCTATAAAACCCAAGCACTCTGAGAACTCAGGGCAGGGACACTTGTAATTGTGACTGGTTAGATCTTTTTGGTAGTCCTCATGTTTCTTCTCGTCTTTATTCTGAGTCTAGGCTTATGGAGTCTCTACCATGTGTCTGTGCTTTTGGGTGAGAGTAATAGAGAAGGAAGAAAACTCAAGGAGCGATAGCTATAAAAGATTATTCCATGTTAACCCAGAAAAAAGTTTTTTAAAAGTATATTTTTATTGATTTCAGAGAGAGGAAGGGAGATATATAGAGAGAAACATCCATGAGGGAGAAACATCCATCAGCTACCTCCTGCATGCCCCCTACTGGGGATTGAGCCTGCAACCCAGGCATGTGCCTTGATCAGGAATCGAACTGGCGACCTCCTTCCTGGTGCATGAGACTGCGCTCAATCAATTGAGCCACACTAGCCCACCAACCTGGAAAATTTTTAGAAATGTTTAACATACTTTATATAGACACATGGCTATTAAATGTGAACAGTGGCAAAATAGTTAAGTAGTCCCAAATTGCCCTTTCCTCCTTTCCTTTTCCTCCCTTCCTCCTTCCATTCCTTCATTCCTTTGTTTAGGTCTCAGAAAACTTGCCTGGAAGCTGTTATTATCTGTTGTCAAAGTGACTTTCTGGTTACATGACTTTTGTTAGTCTACAGTTAACACCTTGACTTATTCTATGGGTGTGCATTAAAGGTGAATCTTAAGTTTTAAAATAGGAATGTAAAGCTTCTGCCTATTATTTGAAAATTTAGGCCGCAAGACCCACCACTTTTTAGAGATTTGTGTGTGTGTGTATGTGTGTGTGGCATTATTTGCTTCATTATCAAGCAATAGCTAATTGCTATAAAAATATTGGGTTTATATTTACAATTAATATTGTTTTTTCCTCTATCATAGGAGGACTTGAAAATAATGTCTGTGTTGTCTTATATTCATGTGATTTAAATATGGATTGCTTTTCTTTGAATTCCCACTAAAAATGATACTTTGGCCTTTTCAGCTGTTTTTGTGAGGACTTTTCTTTCCACCAAGCTTGTTTTCCAGATAGGTCTTGGAAATTATGAAGAACATAGCTATAATTTCTCCCTTGATTGGCAGTTGAGAGCTTTCCCGGACAAAAATAAGGCTACACAGTGCCAAATGGTTGACTTTTCTAGAATAAAAACTCTAAAGGGTATGCGGAAAGTCCTCTGGTTAATATATTGGCATTCCCAGAACCCACTAAAACTCCGGCAGCCTGCCAGACACCACTTAATGAGGATGCAGAATGTCTGGCTCAAATCCCCATGAGCAGAAGGGGGTGGGGAGCTGATGTCCACACCCTTTATTAATTTTTAATGACTGTACTTTTGTTTTGCAGATTTTGCTCTGTAACCCCCTTCAGGCTGACCCCCACCACACCCCTTTCCCCATCCATTTATTTACTCATTTACTTGGCACTGGAAAAATGTTGAGATTTTTAAGGTTAAGAATCCTGCTGAGGGATCATTTCTGTTTGCATGGTTTCTTTTGTTGGTTTTTTTTTTTTCCTTCCTTTTTTCTTTTGGAAGAGGAAGAAAGAAAAGGAACAGAAAAGGAGATAACTTTTTTAAAATGATGCTTTACTGTCTGCTGGAAAAAAGAAGCACTTATGAAACTTTAAGTTTGTCAGTTTATATGACAGTGCAAGTTGGTGCTTGCCAAGCTCCAGACAGATTGCTAATGTTACATGACAGGGATAAATAAATTACCGCTGTCTGCAACACACTTGCACTGCAAACGCACTCTGCAGCCTGTGGTGGCCTGGCGGTGTACACCCAGGGAGCCTGTTGGCTGTGCAGCTTGGGGAAGGCCTCTGCCTACTGCCTACAATTGTACTTGGTTCGGAAATGAAAAGGGTGTGTCTCTCACTATATTTTTGGCATTGCTTCAGGGCAGAATTCACATAGCAGCTTTGTGTCCTTAGTGTTGCTGGTGGCTTTGCCCCCTTTCCCTGCCCCTCTCCCCACCTCATCAGGGACATAGCACCTCGTCTTCCTCTCAGGGACCTGCTCTAAGGAACTAAACTTTGTTATTATATGGACCTGCTCTGGCCCTGAGGTTTCTCAGAGCCAAGTTTCAAGCTGCTTACGGTTGTGTTCTTTCTGCAGGTGCAGACACAGAACAAATTTTTTGAGATAAGTGTGGTGCTGTCCTGGATGGGGGCTGGGTGGCACTCCTTGGGCATAATGTACTTTCATCTCTGGCAATTTGGATAGTCAGCTGGCAGAGTGACAGGTGTAATGAACTTAATGGTCTTGCTCTAGTTGTTAGCGGACACACTGCTCACATTACAAAGCCACCTCCTAAATTGGGCCTCTGCCAAATGCCTTGCTCTTCTTTTTGCAGACTGGATGAAGGGCCTGGACTACTTGAGTGACATTAAGATCAGGAATTGGGTGAGTGTGAGCAACATCTGTGCACCCTCATCCACATGTATCTAGAATTTCTTTTCAAAGTAAGATTGTTCTATCCAGTTTGCAAAAAGTATCTATCCCATCCACCCCTGGCCAGCCATCCTTCCATGTGAGATGTGGCAAGGACCTCCTATGTAAGTGTCTGAACTCCTTGCTTTTGGGGTTTGCAGAATGGCTGGCTTCCTGCTGTGTCTTGTTTCCTTTGCAGGACTACCATCCTTCAGAAATGGGCTGAGCCCCTGGCTGCTGGTGGAGGCATGTGACAGGGATTATTTTGATTTTTGGTGGCCTCAAGAGTTGGGGAGGGAATTTTCACAGTAAAATCTCACTGCTTCTGGAAGGCAAGAGTAAAGAGCCCACAGCTTGATTCTAGGTTGCTTTTATTATAGAATAGTAAGAAGGTAGGAAAGTTCCAGGACAAGCAGAATAGGGAAACTAAGATAATTAAACAGCAGTTTGTAGCCACCTAGTAAATACTATCTCCCCTAAGCCAAGGACACTTAAGAGTCAAAGGAATAGAAGACCTCAGTCCTTGTCTTCTTGAAAGAAAGATTTAAATTGAGAAACAGTGTAGAAAAGCAAGCAAGAATTTATTGTCCACAGTAAAACACATTTAGGATAGTGAAACTAGGAAGGGCATAGAAGTAGCAGGAGAGCCTAGACTGGGTTGCCTTGGTTCACTGAAAGTCAGAATAAAGGGGGCCTTAGAGACAGGTTCAGGAGGTTAGCCTGGGATGAGCTGCTGCTGTCCATTGCTGCCTGGTTGCCAGTCTCCTGGGGTCCCGTGGAGTTTAGGAGATAGGTGCCTCTAGAGGAAGAAGGGAAGGCGGTAGGGGAAATAGGAGTTGGCCCTGGTGTGCTCCTGGGTAGGAGAGCACATTGGGACCTTCATCTTCAGGGGTTTTGAAGGCTGGGCTTTTAGGGGAGGTCTTAGGGGAGGATCACTAGAATATTCATCAGCTGTAAGTGTCCTTGGTTTAGGGAAGTAGGATTTACTAGGTGGCTGCAAACTTCTGTTTAACTATCTGTCTTAGTCATTGGGAACTGGTATCCCTCATTGTTGTTTTAATTTGCATCTCTCTGATGATTAGTGATGATGAGCATTTCTTCATATGTCTCTTGGCCATTTGTATGTCCTGTTTGGAGAAGTGTCTATTTAGTTCCTCTGCCCATTTTTTAATTGGGTTCTTTGTCTTCCTTTTGTTGAGTTGTATGAGTACTCTATATTTTGAAAATTAACCCCTTATCTGATGTATCATTGGCAATGATGTTCTTCCATACAGTGGGTGGCCTTTCCATTTTGATGATTGTTTCTTTTGCTGTGCAGAAGCTTTTGAGTTTGATGTAGTCCCATGTGCTTATTTTTTCCTTTGTTTCTGTTGCTTTAGGTGATGTGTCGGTGAAAATTCGGCTGTGTATGAAGTCCGAAATGTTGTTGCCTACATTTTCTTCGAGGATTTTTATGAATTCATGGGTCACATTTAAGTCTTTTATTCATTTTGAGTTTATTTTGTTTATGGTGTAAGTTGATGGTTTAGTTTCATTTTTTTTCATGTAGCTGTCCAATTTTCTCAACACCATTTATTAAAGAGACTGTCTTTACTCCATTGTATGCTCTTGCCTCCTTTGTCAAATATTAATTGAGCATAGTGTCTTGGGTCCATTTCTGGTTTCTCTATTCTGTTCCACTGGTCTATATGCCTGGTCTTGTGCCAGTACCAGGCTGTTTTGATTACAGTCGCTTTGTAGTATAACCTGAAATCTGGTATTGTGATCCCTCCAACTTTGTTCTTCCTTTTCAAGATTGCTGTGGCTATTCGAGACCTGTTTTGGTTCCATATGAACTTTTGAAGTATTCTAGTTCTGTGAAATATGTCATTGGTATTTTGATGGGGATTGCATTGAAACTATAAATTGCTTTGGGTAATATGGACATTTCAATGATATTAATTCTTCCAAGCCATGAACAAGGTATGTGCTTCCACTTCTTTATATCTTCTTCCATTTCTTTTTTCAATGTCCTGTAGTTTTCTGAAAATAGGTCCTTTACTTCTTTGGTTAAGTTTATTCCTAGGTATCTTAATTTTTTTGCCGTGATGGTAAATGGGATTGTTTTTTCAGTTTCTCTTTTTGTGAGTTCATCATTGGTGTATAAGAATGCCATCGATTTCTTGACGTTAATTTTGTATCCTGCTACTTTGCCAAATTCATTTATTAAGTCTAGTAGATTTTTGATGAGTCTTTGGGGTTTTCTATGTATTGTATCATGTCATCTGTGAATAATGACAGTTTCGCTTCCTCCTTTCCAATTTGGATCCCTTTTATTTTTTCTTCCTGTCTGATTGCTGTGGCTAAGACTTCCAGTACTATGTTAAATAAGAGTGGCGAAAGTGGGCATTCCTGTCTTGTTCCTGTTCTTAAGGGAAATGCTTTTAGTTTTTGCCTATTGAGTATGATATTGGCTGTAGGTCTTTCATGTATGGCCTTTATTATGTCAAGATATGATCCCTCTATTTCCACATTGTTGATTGTTTTTATCAGAAATGTATACTGGATTTTGTCAAATGCTTTTTCAGCATCTATAAATATGATCATGTGGTTTTTATTCTTCATTTTGTTTATGTGATGTATCACATTTATTGATTTGCGAATATTGTACCAGCCTTACATCCCTGGGCTGAATCCCACTTGGTCATGATGAATAATGTTTTTGGTGTATTGCTGAATCCGATTTGCTAGTATTTTGTTCAGGATTTTGGCGTCTATGTTCATCAGGGATATTGGCCTGTAGTTTTCTTTCTTTGTACTATCTTTTTTCTGGTTTTCGAATTAGAATTACGCTGGCCTTATAAAACAAGTTTGGAAGTCTTCCTTCTTCTTGAATTTTTTGAAATACTTTGTGGAGAATGGGTGTTAGTTCTTTTTTGACTGTTCGGTAAAACTCCCCCGTGAAGTCATCCAGGCCTGGGTTGTTAAGATAAATATTGCATCCTAACAGAACTTAGTTTTCATCCTATTGATGTTTAAATATGAGATTCCAAATCTTTACTTCTAAACTAGAGGTCTTGGGATTAAATTTTTATCCATCTGAAGAGTAATGTAAAAATAGTAAACATATTTCATATATACAACTATATTTAGTCCAGGGAAATAATATTTGTTTTCTGATAATTAAAGTTGGACATTAAATGGAGTTGGTGTGCCCTGGCTGGTGTGGATCAATTAGGTGGTTGGGTTTCGTACTGCACAGAAGGGTTGCTGATTTGATCCTGGTGGGGGTTGTTCAAGAGGTAGCTGATTCATGTTTTACTCTCATAACAATGTTTCTCTCTCTCTCCTCCTCTCCCATTCTTTCTCTCAAAAAATCAATAAAAAATCTTAAAAAAATTGAAATGGAGTGGGAGCATTAGTTATTTAATGGAACTCTTAGTGCTTTACTTTGCAATGTGACTCCTTCCTCTTTTACTGTCTTAATCTGGTTTATAGATTGTATTTTAAAAATTGGGGCACATTTGTATGCCTAAGGGAATGGCTCCTGTTCTGTCATCTGCCACGAAGCAGGCTGTATCCACAGGACCCACCCAAGGAAGCAGCAGGCCTGAGAGGCAGCTGCCTGCAGCAACTTGTTGTCCCGAGTGTGTGTGGAAGGATCTGAGCAGATGTGTTGTCTCCTGGTTTTGAGGAAGGGTTGTTTTTTTTTCTCTATCTTCTACTCCTAGTTGTGACTTGGTTCTTGTCCAGCCATGCCCGTGGGAGACTGTTTGACTTTGGAAGGTTTTTAAGAGGATTAAATAAGATAATGTATACGAACACCAGCCGGGAGAGGTCCAATGAACTGCCATAGTGAATGCTCAATAAATGGCAGCTACTATAAAGTCAAATAAATATTTGTGAAGCGCCCACCCAGCCTGGTGTGGTGGAGACACAACACCTGCCCTCTGGAGACTTGGAGACCCATACAGGAAGCAGCCAGAAAATAAGGGTCGGCAGTTTATAATCAAGTCTCTGGTAAAGTGTTGGGAGACACCATTTAAGCTGTTAAGAAAGGCTTTGTACATGGAGAGTGGGGCTGCTGGACCTAAAGGGTGGTAAGCTCTGATCGCTCCCCTCGTTCCCTCCCTTCCTGTTTCCTCTGCTCTGCATTCTTCTGGGGCACTGTAATGTCCAGGCACTGCCTCTGTCCCCACACAATTGCTGCAGAGGGTGATGGCCTCAGTGGGAAGGTATAAAGGGATGGGGAATTAGGAGGACTTCCAGTCTACTTTGGTGAATCAAGGGGGACTTCATGGAGAGATTGACTTTGGGCTGAGACTTGGTGAAAGAACAGAGTTTTGCCAGGTGTACAAGCAGGGAGAGGGTGTTCTCTGTTGGTGACTTCCAGAGAGCAGTATGCAGTGGAGTCTAGGAGGCAAATTCTAGAGCTTTAAATTTCTGTGTATAATTTGTACAATGTACTATTACTGTAATATATATATGTAATTTATAAATAAATATACATGACCCATGTGTGTGTGCTCACACTTTTTGCTCATAGGAGTATATGCTTAAAAAAAGTTGGGGGACCACTACTAGGGCAATGGGAACACAGATTCAGAACAGGGGTAATAGGGAGCAGCCCTAGGGATGAGGAGGGGGCTGATTATTTCATAGGTCTAAGTGATGTATATAGTTCCTGAAATTTGGAACTCTGTGCCTACCCCAGGAGTGAGCATGGTGAAGAAAATCCTGAATTACATGTTAGTATTTAAGTGCCACCAACTCAAAATCTATGTATGATATTTTGCCACTTTGCTGCCCTGACTTTCTCAGGCTCCTTTTTCTGAGTACAACCTGTTGGAGGATGGCTAGGATGAATTCTGACACAGTGTGGGGAGGGACTTGGCGTTCTGGTTTAGGTAATATGAAATCCTAATGGGACTACTTTATTGATCCAGAGAAGAAACTATCAAGAAGTTGAGATTATTTATTCATAATCGAGCAGGGGCACAGTTATAATAGCCACACCCATCTATAAGAATGGTGAAGTTCAATTAATATGTGGCGGGGGCTGCAGGGATAAGTACAGATGGTTTATTCCTGCCTTCACAGAATGTACTTTATAGCCAGAGTTTTGAGTGTCAGACACACAGCCGTGTTAGTACCTGAAAACATGCAGGTGGGGTAGGAGGAAGGGGGCTCTCACTGGGCATGTGTGGAAGGGCGAAAGGGTTCAGGACAGGATTTGTGGGGGAGGGGCAGTTGACAAGTGTCTTGGATGATAGGTGGGCAAAAACTGGAAAAGGAGGGCTTACTGAAAGTATGAATAAAGACATTGGGGAACACAGAGGTGTGCTTGGTGAACAGTAGTGTATTGGAGGCACTGTCATGGTTAGAGCTGAATAAATGTTAGCTGTTGTCATGATTATTATTGTTGTTCTTTTTGCATCATGGCCTTGAATTAGGGCAGGCAAGACTCCTTCTGCTGTGGAGTGTTTCCTCCCATCTTTGCTGAAACCAAATCAACAGCCAGTGACAGTGAAAAAAAGCAAACCTGTTGGGACACCTATCTTCTATCTATTTTCATAAACTATAATTGTTTGCACTGGAGACTCTGTCTTGACCATATTTCTTTTTTTTTTTTATCCTCACCCGAGGACATTTTTCCATTTTTTGTTCAGATAGAGTAGGAAGGAGAGAGAGGAAGAGAGAGAGAGAAACATTGATGTGAAAGGGACACATTGAGTGGCTGCTACCCACACAACCCAATCAGGGCCAAGGACAAACTGCAACTGTCGTACATGCCCTTAGCGGAAACCGAACTCGGGTCTCTTTGAACTGCAGGCTGATGTTCTAACCGCTGAGCCAAACCGGCCAGGGCTTGACCACAGTTCTTTTATATTCAATATTTATTCACATTTTACATACTGCTTAAATTTCATACTTTATGCAGTTCACCCCAGGAAGCCAGGCATATTACTTTCACATGGTAATAATAATGCCTTCTGTTTGCAAAACGTGTAACTTTTTGAAGTTCTTCACAGATAACATCTGATAATTAATGAAACATACATAGAAGTATAATTGATGGATTTGTTCCTTATTCTTCTCTAATGTGGCTATTAGGTGAATGTGGAATTCAGATCAGAGTTTATTTTAATGTGCAAAACCTAATCAGAAAGATATGCCTTATTGTTGTCTCTGCCACATAGCAGGATCTGTCTGAAGTTTGCTGGGAGCAAGGCTTTGCACCTTGCTGGCTGACCAGGCACCCAGTCTACATAATTTCGAGAGGTTAGCATAAAGAACTAAAAACCAACTACATCCAAACCAAGCAGTCCTTTCCTGGGAAGATTGTGCAGAATGCACATGTCACTGAAGTGAGGTGTGAGGGCAGGCTGGGATGGGGGAGCCTGCTTTCATCTCTTTTTCATTATTAAAGGCAGGTTTGCTGGCGAGCTCTTTATGGCAATGAAAAAATTCATTGTTGGTTCTGCCAAAGCTAAAATATTGCCTGTTGGTAAGGGTGGAGTGGGTGC